GACACGGCTCTCCATTACAGCTGTTTCTGGAGGAATCTGCTTCTGTTCATTAGAGACTAATGAGTGACATTACATTTAAGTGCTCGCATTAGATTTGCTTCTTTGAATTTAATGATGGGGCAATGAGGCCTGTAATTAAATAATCAAAAATCTCCACCGGGAGAAACAAAACAAATTCATCCCATCATTTTTTTTTTTTTTATTTTAAACATAAAATGGAATAATTGTAGCGAGCGGAAGAGTTCCCACCTAGATGGAGGAGTCTGGTGGATGGCCGTGCGGAGCGGTCCTCGAAGCTCGCCAACACCGGCACCCAGGAAGAGTTTTCGGGGTAATACACTACGTCACCAAAACCCAGGAAATGTGGGCGACCCAAAGAGAATTTTATATCTTTTATATCTCATACGTCTGTCTATTAGTGCCGGTCACTTCGGGGCGATTTCAGGTGTGATATGCGAATTGAAATGGCACCTGAAATGTCAGGGTCTTCACACGTGCGATTTGCTGCGGCGAGATTTCTAAAGTCGTTCTGGCGTGACTTTTCCTGCAGTTTTGTTGCGATTTCACATCCATAGGATAGAATGGAAATCGCAATAAATTGTTCTTCACAAGTAGCAAGAAAATCAAGAAAATCTTCACAAGTAGCTATAAAGTCTTCAGAAATTGCGCTGAAATTGCACACAAATGGCGGCGGTGTGACCGGTGACTAGTTTCAAGAATGTTCGCAAATTTCAAATGTTATTTTGTTTCCTAATTTGTAGCCGAGACTGAAATAGTATTAACCCCTTGAGCTCGGGAAGGTTTTATTCCCTTCATGACAAGACCGTTTTTTACTATTCAGCACTGTGCTACTTTACCTGGCAATTGCGCAGTCATCTCCTCCGGGAGAAACAAAACAAATTCATCCATCATTTTTTTTAAAACATAAAATGGAATAATTGTAGCGAGCGGAAGAGTTCCCACCTAGATGGGGGAGTCTGGTGGATGGCCGTGCGGAGCGGTCCTCGAAGCTCGCCAACACAAACCGGCGCCCAGGAAGAGTTTCGGGGTAATACGCCGTCACCGAAACCCAGGAAATGTGGGCGACCCAAAGAGAATTTTATATCTTTTATATCTCATAGGTCTGTCTATTAGAGCCGGTCACCCCAGGGGGGGCGATTTCAGGTGTGATATGCGAATTGAAATCGCATCCAATGAATGCCAATGTCAGGGTCTTCACACGTGCGATTTGCTGCGGCGAGATTTCTAAAGTCGTTCTGGCGTGACTTTCCTGCAGTTTTGTTGCGATTTCACATCCATAGGATAGAATGGAAATCGCAATAAATCGTTGAAAATCTTCACAAGTATCAATAAAGTCTTCAGAAATTGCGCTGAAAGATGATAGTTTGAAGAATGTTCACAAATTTCAAATGTTATTTTGTTTTCTAATTTGTAGCCGAGACTGGAATAGTATTAACCCCTTGAGCTCGGGAAGGTTTTACCCCCCCCCCCCCCTCATGACAAGACCATATTTTACTATTCAGCACTGTGCAACTTTACCTGGCAATTGAGCAGTCATCTCCACCGGGAGAAACAACAAAAATTCATCCATCATTTTTTTTTTTAAACATAAAATGGAATAATTGTAGCGAGCGGAAGAGTTCCCACCTAGATGGAGGAGTCTGGTGGATGGCCGTGCGGAGCGGTCCTCGAAGCTCGCCAACACCGGCGCCCAGGAAGAGTTTCTGGGTAATACGCCGTCACCAAAACCCAGGAAATGTGGGCGACCCAAAGAGAATTTTGTATCTTTTATATCTCATACGTCTGTCTATTAGTGCCGGTCCGGGGGGGGGGGGCGATTTCAGGTGTGATATGCGAATTGAAATGGCATCCCTGAAATGTCAGGGTCTTCACACGTGCGATTTGCTGCGGCGAGATTTCTAAAGTCGTTCTGGCGTGACTTTTCCTGCAGTTTTGTTGCGATTTCACATCCATAGGATAGAATGGAAATCGCAATAAATTGTTCTTCACAAGTAGCAAGAAAATCAAGAAAATCTTCACAAGTAGCTATAAAGTCTTCAGAAATTGCGCTGAAATTGCACACAAATGGCGGCGGTGTGACCGGTGACTAACAGATAGTTTCAAGAATGTTCGCAAATTTCAAATGTTATTTTGTTTCCTAATTTGTAGCCGAGACTGAAATAGTATTAACCCCTTGAGCTCGGGAAGGTTTTATTCCCTTCATGACAAGACCATTTTTTACTATTCAGCACTGTGCTACTTTACCTGGCAATTGCGCGGTTATCTCCACCGGGAGAAACAAAAAAATTCATCCATCATTTTTTTTTTTAAACATAAAATGGAATAATTGTAGCGAGCGGAAGAGTTCCCACCTAGATGGGGAGTCTGGTGGATGGCCGTGCGGAGCGGTCCTCGAAGCTCGCCAACGCCGGCGCCCAGGAAGAGTTTCTGGGTAATACGCCGTCACCGAAACCCAGGAAATGTGGGCGACCCAAAGAGAATTTTATATCTTTTATATCTCATACGTCTGTCTATTAGAGCCGGTCACCCCGGGGGGGCGATTTCAGGTGTGATATGCGAATTGAAATGGCACCTGAAATGTCAGGGTCTTCACACGTGCGATTTGCTGCGGCGAGATTTCTAAAGTCGTTCTGGCGTGACTTTTCCTGCAGTTTTATTGCGATTTCACATCCATAGGATAGAATGGAAATCGCAATAAATTGTTCTTCACAATAGCAAGAAAATCGAGAAAATCTTCACAAGTAGCAATAAAGTCTTCAGAAATCGCGCTGAAATTGCACACAAATGGCGGCGGTGTGACCGGTGACTAACAGACGAGAGTTTCAAGAATGTTCGCAAATTTCAAATGTTATTTTGTTTCCTAATTTGTAGCCGAGACTGGAATAGTATTAACCCCTTGAGCTCGGGAAGGTTTACCCTCTTCATGACAAGACCATATTTTACTATTCAGCACTGTGCTACTTTACCTGGCATTTGAGCGGTCATGCAGCGTTGTACCCAAATTCATCCAATTTTTTTTTATCATTCTTTCACAGAAATAATGACTTCTTTGGTGGTATTTGATCACCACTCGGGTTTTCGTAATTTATTTTTTGCTATATAAACAACAAAAGAATGAACATTTTGTAATAAAAGCAGCATTTTCTACTTTCTGTTATAAAACATATCCAATAAAAAATATTTAAAAAAAAAATCACACTCGATTTTCATAAATTTCTGGCTGAAATGTATTCTTTGGTGATAAAAAAAAAACACATATATTGTTACTCATATTGCCCCAAGTCTTGGACCGCCGGCCTTTCACAAATGCTTTAATTGCCCCCAGTCTTAGTCCGTAGGGTTCAATATTGAGTTGGCCCCAACCCTTTCACACACATGACCTTTAATGGGTTTCCTAATCTTAGTCCGTAGGGAAATAGTCAATATTGAGTTGGCCCCGCCCTTTCCATGACAACACATGACCTTTAATGGCCCCCCCAGTCATTTAGCCGTCAGGGTTCAAATTATTTTTTTTGGCCCCGCCCTTTCCACACACATGACTTTGTATTTGGCCCCCCAGTCTTAGTCCGTAATTTATTTTTTGGGTTCAATATTGACATTTTGTAATAAAAGCCCTTTCCACACACATGACCTTTATTGGCCCCCCAGTCTTAGTCCGTAGGGTCACTCTTTCAATATTTGAGTTGGCCCCGCCCTTGGTGAAAAAAAAAACCCACACACATACTTTATGGCCCCCCCAGTCTTTGGACGTAGGGTTCAATATTGAGTTGGCCCCGCCTTTCCACACACATGACCTTTATGGCCCCCCAGTCTTAGTCGTAGGGTTCAATATTGAGTTGGCCCCGCCCTTTCCACACACATGGCCTTTAATGCCCCCCCCAGTCTTAGTCCATAGGGTTCAATATTGAGTTGGCTCCCCCTTTGCAGCTATAACAGCTTCAACTCTTCTGGGAAGGCCGTCCACAAGGTTTAGGAGGGTGTCTATGGGAAGGTTGGACCATTCTTCCAGAAGCACATTTGTCAGGTCAGGCACTGATGTCGGGGGAGGGGCACTGATGTCGGGGGAGGAGGCCTGGCTCGCAGTCTCCGCTCTAATTCATCCCAAAGGTGTTCTATGGGGTTGAGGTCAGGACTCTGTGCAGGACAGTCAAGTTCCTCCACCCCAAACTGGCTCCTCCATGTCTTTATGGACCTTGCTTTGTGCACTGGTGGGCAGTCATGTTGGAACAGGAAGGGGCCATCCCCAAACTCTTCCCACAAAGTTGGGAGCATGAAATTGTCCAAAATGTCACCTTAAGAGTTCCCTTCACTGGAACTAGGGGGCCAAGCCCAACCCCTGAAAAACAACCCCACACCATAATCCCCCTCCACCAAACGTTACACTTGGCACAATGCAGTCAGGCAAGTACCGTTCTCCTGGCCACCGCCAAACCCAGACACGTCCATCGGATTGCCAGACAGAGAAGCGTGATTGGCCCCTCCAGAGAACACGTCTCCCCTGCTCTAGAGTCCAGTGGCGGCGTGCTTTACACCCCAGCATCCGACGCTTTGCATTGCACTTGGTGATGGAAGGCTTGGATGCAGCTGCTCGGCCATGGAAACCCATTCCATGAAGCTCTCTACACACTGTTGTTGGGCTCATCTGAAGGCCACACCAAGTTTGGAGGTCTTTAGCTATTGACCCTGCAGACAGTTGGTGACTTCTGCGCACTGTGCGCTTCAGCATGCGCTGACCCCGCCCTGTCATGTGACGTGGCCTACCACTTGGTGGCTGAGTGGCTGTTGTTCCCAGTGGCTTCCACTTTGTTATAATCCCACTAACAGTTGAGCGTGGAATATTTAGTAGCCAGGAAATGTCACGGATGGACTTATTGCCCAGGTGGCCACCTATCACGGGACCACGCTTGGAGTCACTGAGCTCCTGAGAGCGACCCATTCTTTCACCAATGTTTGTAGAAGCCGTCTGCATGTCTAGGGGCTTGATTGTATACACCTGTGTCCATGGAGGGGATTGGAGCACCTGAATCACATGATATGGAGGGGATTGGAACGCCTGAATCACATGATATGGAGGGGATTGGAACGCCTGAATCACATGATATGGGGGGGATTGGAACACCTGAATCACATGATATGGAGGGGATTGGAACACCTGAATCACATGATATGGAGGATTGGGATTGGAACACCTGAATCACATGATATGGGGGGGATTGGAACACCTGAATCACATGATATGGGGGGGGATTGGAACACCTGAATCACATGATTGGGAGGGGATTGGAACACCTGAATCACATGATATGGGGGGGGGACCCCTGAATCACATGATTGGGAGGGGATTGGAACACCTGAATCACATGATAGGTAATGAATACCCGGAAGGGTCTCACTGACACATTACTCAGCAACAATGTAACTTTACAAAGTCAGAAGGGTCAGAGTTGCCGCAGGGGCTGATCTGTGTCAGACATTTGTGAACACGTTCTGCACAGGCGCTGACTTTGCTGTCTGTGGTATAGTCCGGTGTTCTGTTTGGACGGAGGGGAGGACATGATTTATTTCCCAGTTTCTGCCGTTATGGTTCCATAATGAGAGGCACACAGATGTGACTCCGTCGTGTTTCTCTCCCGCGCCCGGCGAGGGAATCTGCGCTGTTCTCCGGCATTCCTTGCTGCCTCTAATCACCTGTTATCGGTGTCGCTGGCTGTCAGAGTGGCATCTGTACATCAGCCTTGGCAGAGCGGCTGCCATCATGACGGCGGCGGCGGCTCCGACGCTCTTGTTAGTCACTTATGTTCAAGACGTTTCGAATCTTCCGCTCCGCGCCTTAAATGATCATCGCCGCCGCTCTGCCAGCGCATTCATCAGCCTCTGCCAGGTGGGAGGACTCCTTCCCGCCATCAGCGCTCCAGACTCGGGAAATGATCCGCATCAGATGATGCAATGTCACTCACTCCGCAGGTCAGGTGACCAGGGGGACTGACCGCCATTCGCTGAGCTCAGGTATGGGGGAGGAGAGGTCACCTGCATCTTCTCAACAGTTCTTGTTGTTATTGTGAGTTTTCCTCAGTCTCCCCTCCCCCAGTGATCAGACTGTACAATGTAACTTTGTAGAGGAAGGAGGAGGAGGCATTTCCTCAGTCTCCCCTCCCCCAGTGATCAGACTGTACAATGTAACTTTGTAGAGGAAGGAGGAGGAGGCATTTCCTCAGTCTCCCCTCCCCCAGTGATCAGACTGTACAATGTAACTTTGTAGAGGAAGGAGGAGGAGGCATTTCCTCAGTCTCCCCTCCCCCAGTGATCAGACTGTACATTGTAACTTTGTAGCAAGTCAAAGGTCTTTAGAGGTGGGGTCTGGGACGTACCAACTCATACAGGTGGGGTGGGTGGGTGTGATGGGCAATCCTTGCATATTTAGAGGTGGGGTCTGGGCGGGACCAAAACATAACTGTGGGTGTGACGGGCAGTCTTCACATTTTTAGAGGTGGGGGTCTGGGCGGGACTAAAACGTAACATGGGTGTGACGGGCAGTCTTCACAGTTTTAGAGGTGGGGTCTGGGCGGGACTAAAACGTAACATGGGTGTGACGGGCAGTCTTCACAGTTTTAGAGGTGGGGTGGGGTCTGGGCGGGACTTCAAATTTTTAACATGGGGTACTGACGGTGTGACGGGCAGTCTTCACATTTTTAGAGGTGGGGTCTGGGCGGGACCAACCCATACTGTGGGTGTGACGGGCAGTCTTCACATTTTTAGAGGTGGGGTCTGGGCGGGACCAACCCATACTGTGGGTGTGACGGGCAGTTTAACATTTTTAGGTGGGGTCTGGGCGGGACCAACCCATACAGTGGGTGTGACGGGCAGTCTTCACATTTTTTAGAGGTGGGGTCTGGGCGGGACCAACCCATACTGTGGGTGTGACGGGCAGTCTTCACATTTTTAGAGTGGGGCCTGGGCGGGACTAAAACATAACATGGGTGTGACGGGCAGTCTTCACAGTTTTAGAGGTGGGGTCTGGGCGGGACCAACCCATACTGTGGGTGTGACGGGCAGTCTTAACATTTTTAGAGGTGGGGTCTGGGCGGGACCAACCCATACAGTGGGTGTGACGGGCAGTCTTCACATTTTTAGAGGTGGGGTCTGGGGGACCAAACCATACAGTGGGTGTGACGGGCAGTCTTCACATTTTTAGAGGTGGAGACTGGGCGGGACCAACCCATACTGTGGGTGTGACGGGCAGTCTTCACATTTTTAGAGGTGGGGTCTGGGCGGGACCAACCCATACTGTGGGTGTGACGGGCAGTCTTCACATTTTTAGAGGTGGGGTCTGGGCGGGACTAAAACATAACATGGGTGTGACGGGCAGTCTTCACAGTTTTAGAGGTGGGGTCTGGCGGGACCAACCCATAGAGGTGGGGTCTGGTGTGACCAACCCCATACAGTGGGGACGGCAGTCTTCACATTTTTAGAGGTGGGGTCTGGGCGGGACAAACCATACAGTGGGTGTGACGGGCAGTCTTCACATTTTTAGAGGTGGAGACTGGGCGGGACCAACCCATACTGTGGGTGTGACGGGCAGTCTTAACATTTTTAGAGGTGGGGTCTGGGCGGGACCAACCCATACAGTGGGTGTGACGGGCAGTCTTCACATTTTTAGAGGTGGGGTCTGGGCGGGACCAAAACATAACATGGGTGTGATTTGTCTGTTCCCACCCAGAAAGTTGGTGGACAAAATGCAGACCATGGATGGTGTCCTCAGATCTGAGACCATAACGTGTGCCTATGTGACAACCATGGCTCCCTCCATACATACGATGGAATAAAATCCATAGACACGAAGGAACAGGAAGTGAGATATTTCCAGGATCACAACGTAAAATAAACGGAAAACAACCTGAAAAAAGCAATCTAATGCGGCCACCACATCGAAGAACGTATAACCTGCAGAATAGTCTCTTTGTTTCGGGGGGTAGCCATGCTTTAGGTGGGGGATCACGTGGCTTTGTTAATAAACAAAGCCGTGTCACAGAGCGATGGGGTCTCACAGGAAACTATTGATTGACCAATTAGTGAATTGCCGCAATACTAAGTTTGCCGGGATTGGCGGCTCATCCCTCACATCAAAGCGTCCGTGGAAAATATTTTCGAACAATTGAGAACATGGCGTTCTATATATCCTGGAGCATAAGGAGCATCATCTTCACCTCCCGTATCCTTTCCGTTGGAGGTTGGTAGACGGCCCCCGGCCTCCCTGAAGTACTTGTCACGGTGTCACTTAGAAGCCGCGTTGGTGTCAGGACTCATGAGGCCCCTGCACCTCGCTGATAAGACGCTCCACTCCTGCAAATTGACTGCAGAGAGTGAGGCATTTCCTTCATTACCTCCCCGCGTCCGCGCCGTAATTCCTACAAAATTGTCCGTGACTCTCAGCTCTGTCATCCCCTCCCTCGGCTCCTGAGGAGGCAGGGGTTGTCAGTGGGCTGGCTGGGGGGTCATAGCGCCATTTAGAAGTCGGGAAATGTTTCAGGAGGCTGATGTGTGCCTCCACCCCTATCGCTTCTCGGCCTTTTGGCTAAGATCAAGTGTAGTATCTGTTCTTATCAGTGTCCAGTGGGGGGGCTCCCGGCCATTCTAGCTTTGCGGGGATGGTTGTTGTATAGTACCCTCACTGGTATGATGGGGGTCCGGAAGGCTGGACCGGAGGGACAGAAACCGGGGAGCGCCATGATTCGTTCTGGGGCCTTGGGAGTAATTCCTCCGGGAAGACCCAGTACCTCCTGATTTGGACGGATCTACCTTGGTCTGGCCAGGGGCTGGGGACGCAAAAAGTCCGCAAACTCAGTGCCCCCTGAGTAGACGCTCTCAGGGGTGCCACTAGTAACACCTGGGTGTGGGACCCCACTGTGTGAAGATGGCACATGGTCACTGTTTTTACACTCTTTTTGCACAGCGCCCTAAGGACCAGGCCTTCTGGCTAGGACCAGGGCAATTTTTGCTACGGGCCTCAGGGCCCGGTCTGTGCACTATTTGGCACGGAACCACTTTTTTATTTTTTATTTAATTTAATCACCTCCCACTTTTTGTCACTTTTTTCTTTACTTATGTGTGTGTTTCACGGATGGAGGGTGTGGGTCCTCGGGCCTACCCTGAAGTCTAGGGGGAGGATGTGTGGCCTTTTGGTTCCTTCCTCCCCTGATCCCTAGGGGGCTTTTCTTCGGGAGAGCCCCCTGACCAAGTACTGGGTGTCTGGCTTCGGCTGGACACTAGGAACGGTGGTCCACCAGGCCTTTTGGCCAGGAGGACCAATTGGGAACCTTGTCCCCGTCAGGAGCTTCGTGCCCCGGGGGATCAGGGTAAGCGGTCCAAGCCCCTTTAGGGGTAGGACACAGCACACCCCTAAGTGCACTTTTTCGTGTGGTGTTTTGCACTTGCACATTTTTTGTGATCACTTACGGGTTTTTTCGTTGTAGTTTGCACGTTTGCGGGCTAAAAAAAAAAAAAAAAAAAAAAATGTGTGCCTCCACCCCGATGCAGGACACAATCTCACCATGCCAACTACAACTCCCAGCATGTCCTGGTAGAATACATAAACAGGTCATCATCAGGGAGGAGGTTATAGTTCAGGCCAAACCTTGACTGTTCGGGTGTTTGGACGGACCCCCAGATATCTGCACAAGTGGGCTTGAACCCAACGCCATCATGTATAGTAGAGGCATTACTGCCGCTGTTACGCCTGACAGCTTGGTCACATGACATCACTGGTCCAGTATGGAAGGAGTCAGGGATAGTCAACAAAATGGTTTGGGGGTTCCCCCATAACTCATGCCAAGCCCTTCGTAGCTAAAATAAAAATTGCCTGAGCCGCCCCCCCCCCCAATTCTATACCAGTTCCTTATTAAAGCCTTCAACCTGGCAGGCCAGGAAAGGGCCCCCTCCTGAATCATGCCAGGCTACATTTCCTCCCCAAAAAAATAGGGAGAGCCCCTCCCCCAAATTTTATGCCAGACCTTTCTGGTCTGTTGTGGATTTAAAAGTTGAGCCCCACCCAAAAATCAAGAACACAAATGTGTGAAACCCCTCCCACCCAAAAAACCCCCCATTAAAATCAGATCCTTATTTAAGCCCTTAGCCTGGCAGACCAGGAAAGGACCTCCTCCTGAGCCATGCCCTCAAAAAAAAACAAATAGGGGAGCCCCCCCAAAAAATATTTAATACCAAACAATTCTGGTCTGCTATGGATTTAAAAGTTGAGCCCCACCCAAAAATTAAGAAGAAAAATGCGTGAAGCACCCCCCTCAAAAAAAAAAAAAATCCATACCAGATCCTTATTTAAGCCCTTAGCCTGGCAGGCCAGGAAAAGGCCTCCTCCCAGGGGCGGACTGACAACTTATGGGGCCCCTGGGCAATAGGGGATCATGGGGCCCCTGCGTCCTCGCCCACACTCAAGCCACACCCAAAAAAGTCTCTGAAAGGTACCAGGGGCATCTCATGGGGCCCCTTACTGACCATGGGCCCTCGGGCAGTGCTGAGTGCTTGAATGGTCAGTCAGCCCCTGACTCCTCCTGAACCATGCCAGGACACATGCCCTCAAAAAAAATCAAAACAACGGCATGAGGCCCCCCTAATTCTATACCAGACTCTTTTGGTCTGTTATAGATTTTAAGGGGGAAACCGAACATAAAAATTAAAACAACAATGAGTAAAGCCCCCCAGAAATCTATACCAGACACTTCTGTAAGCCCTTAGCCTGGCAGGCCAAGAAAGGTCCTCCTCCTGAACCATGCCAGGCCACATGCCCTCCAAAAAAGGTGTGAGGTCCCCCCAAATTCTGTACTAGATCCTTTCTAAAATCAAAAATGTGTGAACCCCTCTAAAAATCCATACCAGACCCTTATTTGAGCCTTCTACCTGGCAGACCAGAAACAGGGCCTCCTAAACCATGCCAGGCCACATGACATCAGAAAAAAAAAAGATCGATGTGAGGTCCCCCCAAAATCTATATTGGACCCTTATGGTCTGTTATGGATTTTAAGGTTGAACCCCACCCATAAATCAAGAGCAAAATTGTGTGAAGCCCCCCAATAAACAGACCCTATGCCTTCAGCCCGGCAGGCCAGGAAAGGACCTCCTCTTGAACCATGCCAGGCCACATGCCCTCTGCATGGGGGAGGAACCTTGCCAGAGGGGACACCTGTCTTTTTTAACATTCAAGTCCCATTGACTTTAATGGGGTTTGGATTCGGCACCCCAACTTTAGTCATATTCGCCAAAGCTGCCTCACCCACGTACCACACCCAGGTATGTTTAGGTAATCAGTAGACACCATTCCAACCGGTACACCTGTGCAAAACTGAAGGGGAGGAGCCGGTACACCTGTGAAAGACTGAAGGGGAGGAGCTTGGACAGCTGTGCAAGACTGAAGGGGAGGAGCCAGTACACCTGTGCAAGACGGAAGGGGAGGAGCCGGTACACCTGCGCAAGACTGAAGGGGAGGAGCTGGGACACCTGTGCAAGACTGAAGGGGAGGAGCCGGCACACCTGTGCAAGGCAGAAGGGGAGGAGCTGGTACACCTGTGCAAGACTAAAGGGGAGGAGCCAGTACATCTATGCAAGAATGAAGGGGTGGAGCCGGTACACCTGTGTAAGAATGAAGGGGAGGAGTTGGTAAATCTGTGCAAGAATGAAGGGGTGGAGCCGGAACACCTGTGCAGGACTGAAGGGGAGGAGCCGGTACACCTGTGCAAGACTGTAGGGGAGGAGCCGGTACACCTGTGAAAGACTGAAGGGGAGGAGCCAGTACACCTGTGAAAGACTGAAGGGGAGGAGCCGGTACACCTGTGCAAGACTGAAGGGGAGGAGCCAGTACATTTGTGCAAGAATGAAGGGGAGGAGCCGGTACACCTGTGCAGGACTGAAGGGGAGGAGCCGGTACACCTGTGCAAGACTGAAGGGGAGGCCAGAGGGAGATTTATTGGCCCATCCTGGCTCCACCTTCATCCAATCCCTATTTTTATCTCTCTCTGGAGGGATTTCGCTCACTTTCTGACTTGGTGACAACACAGGAAATTCTAATCCTTCCCCAGTCCATCCTCCGCCCTAAAAATAAAAGTTTTGGTTGGAACAGAACCAAAAGGAATCTAGTTTCAGAGGGGCACGCTGAAGAGCGTCACAATCAGAGGCTACTCATAGGGAGGACTATTAGGCGTCTGACAGGTTCTCTTTAGATGTCGACGCCTCTTACGCATTTCTGAAAGATGGAACAAAACACACAGGAATGTCCGGAGCTGCACTTGTGTTGCCATTAATTGTTAGTGTCGCCCGAAGCGCGGTGAGCACCAAAATGCGCCAAAACCCCCACAAAAAAAAATCGCCCAATGCGCCACGACCGGAAAGCTGCTGGAGCTGCTTGGGCACATCTGTCGTGTGTAGGGAAGCCAATAGAAATGAATAGCTGCCCCAGGTGTGACGCCCATTAACGCGTGAAAAAACGCACCAAAAGTGCGAGCGGGAGGTCAGCGGGGCCCAACGGGGCCCTCCATGATAAAACAGGAGCTTCCGATCGCCTTTCCTGCGGTTGGCGTTTCCCTTTTCCTGTCATTGTTGGCAATTAAAATGACAGATATGTAACCGGCGCCGAGAGTCGCGTGACAAACCGCTAACAACGCGGCAACCTGTCATCGCTGAGATTTAACCCTTCGCGGGCGCGGCGGCTGCATTTTCATCTCCCGCCTGACGGCAGCGCTTGACGTGCGGCTGTAACGTTATCCTCGTCGTTACCAAAATATCGCTGTCAGGTTGTCACATTACGCCAACACTCAGACAAACAGCATTATCACATGTCACGCCGCGCTCGCAAAACACCGCGCTCGCAAACACCACGCTCGCAAACACCACGCCATTAGGATTTTTTTTTTTTTTTTTTTTTTTGCACACAGATCTGTGAATATAATTAAGGAGCTCTCTGCTGCCTGTCCCAGCCCATCCCCCCCCCCCCCCCCCCCAATGGAGGAGATGGTTGCTCCTTGTGGTTTAGTTTGGCGCAGGTTTTGGCAGCGCGGTTACATAGGACACGCCCCCTGTTTATCATAAACTCCTTGGTGCGAGGCGGACTGCGTGTGGGCTCTGGATTTTTTTTTCTTTTACTAAAGCTGGGAATAGACTTCAGCTCACATAGCGGCCGTCTCCACCGCCGCCGTAGATCGCTTTTCAGAGGGCGGATCGCTTTTCAGCAGCGGCCTCTGGGCGTTCAGAAAATGATTTTTTTTTCCTGATTGATGATTTTGCATGGAATTCATGAAATTTCACAGGTGATGTCGACTGTCAAACTTGGCAAAACCGAGGCATGCGTGCAACCCCTTTAGGCAGCCTTGCGGTTGGGGGGCAATAAAAAACAGGCAGTTGAGCCAAAATTATACTGCCCACTAGAATACTAATGCAGGCCATAGACGGTTCGTTTATCGGCGGATTTTTCGTCCGAAAGAATAATTGGCTGATTTTCGCACTGTTAGTGGGGCAATGGCATTGGACGATTTTTCACGGTTCCGCCTCATTTCATTTATTAGTCATGCTGGAAAATTCGTGAAAAATGGCCGATTTTTGAAATCATTGGTGGCAATATCGCATTACAGATCGAACAATGTTTCATTTTTCAGATGAAAAATTGGCCGATAAACGAACCGTCTATGGCCTGCATAAGGCCCCGTTCAGACCTTGTGCAAGGGAAGGGAGCGTTCCCACTCAGGATTTTTAAAGTGCGATTTACACACAGAAACGCGTGTTGCGCATAAGACAGACCACTCCCTTCAATGGGCTTCCCTAATCGCATCTTATGCACGCCATAGATGGGTCGAAAATCGGCCGATTTTTTGGCCGAAAAAAAAATCAGCCGATTTTCGCACCATTAGTGGTTTAATTGGTCGGCTGTTTTTTAGGGTTTTCGCACATTTTTTTATCGGTAAAGTTGGAAATAAATCGTCCGATTTTGCCGGCAATGATGGGCACATCGGCCGATCGTTTTACCGATAAAAAAATCTGCGTTGTGACCTGCAAGAAGAAGAAGATTTCCAGCCCGCTATTATATTTTATATGAAAGTCTTGCGGTTGCAACAATGTATCCATTTGTATCCGAATAAAAACATCTGTATCCGGAATGGATACAAATGGATACAAATGGATACAAAAATGGATACATTGTTGCAACCACAAGACTTTTCATGTCAGATATAATAGCGGAGCTCTCTGCAGGGACAGAAGTAAATAAATGGCGGCCGTAGACGGGACGAAAATTGGCCGATTTTTTTTTTTTACCGTTGGTGGTAACGTCGGTCTATTGAACAACCGTTTTTTTTTTTTTTTAAACGGCCGGTTTTCGACCCGTCTATGGCCTGCATTAGCCTGATTTTTAAACTTTCGTTTTGCCGCGCGACAGTTGAGACAGAATTGCGCTGCATTTGGGGTACTATTAAAACATAATGGCACCCAAACACGTGTTGCGCGTTCTGCCGCGATTTGGAACCGCCTTATGCGAGCATGGCCTAACATACAGTCGCTGTACACATGCTGCGGCTGCATGACGCTTTCGAGGGGCGGGGACATTGCAGTTCTGTGGGACCACACCTCAACTGCACCACCACCGCGTGCAACGCGTGTCACTGCGGCTCGGTAGTAGGGCAATTCTAGGGTTAAATCCGGCAGTAAGGAGGTGACATATCGCCTCATCCCTGACTGTCAAGCACCTCTGAAAAGCAATCCATGTCTCTTGCACTTGTGAATGAGCCCTTAGGCCGGATTCACACCTCCGCGTCGGGTGAATGTGCGTTCTTTCACACTTTTTTGAGCATTTTCACATGACACGCATAGGGCAGCCCACTTCTTTGAATTTCGAATAAAATGCACCAAAGAGGCTTCTGAACCTTTTTGGGTGTTGAGTTTTGCTGTGTTTTTGTTTTTTTTTTTTTTACTGCACATTGGTTGCATGTTGGGCAATGTGCATCTGCTGGCTGTGTGGGGGACTGAGATCCCTCCTTCATCGGGGACTGAGATCCTCCCTTCATCGGGGACTGAGATCCCCCCTTCATCGGGGACTGAGATCCTCCCTTCATCGGGGACTGAGATCCCCCCTTCATCGGGGACTGAGATCCTCCCTTCATCGGGGACTGAGATCCTCCCTTCATCGGGGACTGAGATCCCCCCTTCATCGGGGACTGAGATCCTCCCTTCATCGGGGACTGAGATCCCCCCTTCATCGGGGACTGAGATCCCCCCTTCATCGGGGACTGAGATCCCTCCTTCATCGGGGACTGAGATCCCTCCTTCATCGGGGACTGAGATCCCCCCTTCATCGGGGACTGAGATCCTCCCTTCATCGTGGACTGAGATCCTCCCTTCATCGGGGACTGAGATCCTCCCTTCATCGGGGACTGAGATCCCCCCTTCATCGGGGACTGAGATACTCCCTTCATCGGGGACTGAGATCCCCCCTTCATCGGGGACTGAGATCCTCTCTTCATCGGGGTCTGAGATCCCCCCTTCATCGGGGACTGAGATCCCCCCTTCATCGGGGACTGAGATCCCCCCTTCATCGGCGACTGAGCTCGCCCCTTCATCGGGGACTAAGCTCGCCCCTTCATCGGGGACTGAGATCCCCCCTTCATCGGGGTCTGAGATCCTCCCTTCATCGGGGACTAAGCTCACCCCTTCATCAGGGACTGAGATCCTCCCTTCATTGGGGACTGAGATCCTCCCTTCATCGGGGACTAAGCTCGCCCCTTCATCGGGGACTGAAATTGCCACTTTATCAGGGACTGAGATCCTCCCTTCATCGGGGACTGAGATCCCCCTTCATCGGGGACTGAAATCCCCCTTCATCGGGAACTGAGATCCCCACTTCATCGGGGACTGAGATCCTCCCTTCATCTGAGACTGAGATCCCCACTTCATCGGGGACTGAGATCCCCACTTCATCGGGGACTGAGATCCCCACTTCATCGGGGACTGAGCTCCTCCCTTCATCGGGGACTGAGCTCCTCCCTTCATCGGGGACTGAGATCCACCTTCGTCGGGGACTGAGATCCACCTTCGTCGGGGACTGAGCTCCTCCCTTCATCGGGGACTGAGATCCCCCCTTCATCTGGGACTGAGATTGGAGAAAAGTGTGTACTGGACTGAAATGAGGAAATATGTGGAATGTTGAAATGTTATATAGATTATAAAAAGACAAAAGTCCATCCAGTTTAACCAACAGAAATAAAAATGAATAAATACATCGAACAAACCTATCTACCAAACCGGATCCAGAGAAAGGCGAAACAATGGATCCAGAGGAAGGCGAAACAATGGATCCAGAGGAAGGCGAAACAATGGATCCAGAGGAAGGCGAAACAATGGATCCAGAGGAAGGCGAAACAATGGATCCAGAGGAAGGCGAAACAATGGATCCAGAGGAAGGCGAAAAATAGATAAATGGAAAGTTCATTTGGCCTTTATAGAGTTTGTCCCTTTTGGTGTCTTTCTGCGCCCCCCCCTCCTCGGCTCCCATGCAGCGATGGAGCACATGCAGCGCACCCCCCTCAGCTCCCATGCAGCACCCCTCCCCCCTCCTCGGCTCCCATGCAGCGCCCTTCCCGGGAAGTCGTCCAGTGTACACAGGCAGTGTATGGAGCGCAGACGTTTCTCTTATTGATTCAGCAGGGAACGCTGTGCGGCAGCGAGTGACGTTCTCACCTCATCAGCGTGAATTATTTAGTTCTTATCTCGGCCTCCTTAGCCGCGAGAAGCCGGAGAATCACCTTTCAGCAATTGTATTCCGCAGGCGCTGACCTTGTGTCACATTGCAATGCTGGAAAATCATTAAACTCCATCTGGATGGCGCCCAAATTACAGCTTATCGGAGGAGGTTGCGGCACAGAGAGAGGCCTGTGTGTCAAACACGGAACGTTCCGCACAGCAAACAAGCCA